CTTTCAGTATAATACTAAGCACGTCATAGTCTACGTATTGTACTGACCGTCGGCATTATTTATGGTAACTGAACACTTGTGACACACTGTACTGCTATAGGAGGGCGCCATGTTTGTCGACGTTCGATACCCAAGGTCAACTGACTTAGCGGGCGTAAACTGTATTATTGAAGTAACACTGTCCAAAGGTTAAGGTCAGGGGAACATTAAATCTTCTGTTAAAATCATCTTCTAGACATGGTTTTGGTCAAATTTCTCTTACTTCACACTTGCAAAAAGTGTCAACGACAGCACTGAGTTATGTAGGATATCGCATTACGTTGGGCTTGCCGAAGTTCCTTGTTTCTCCAGTGATAAATGATTACATTGAGCCAACTGTTACTGAACAGCACTGCCTTAGAAGTGAAGAGCATACTGGAATGAACAACAGAAGGAGCGTTGGTGTCCAGCTGAGAAACACGGTTCCCGTGGTGCTGAATCGCTGTTGGCCGTTTTCAAATGCGATTCCTACTTGATTTTGATCAACAATGCGCCGTGCCTGACGTCGGGCGACTTGTAGGATATAAAAATACAATGCAAAGATAACTCTAAGCGAAAATGTGAGTGTGGAAATAGACAAATAAACGAAAATTTCATCTTCAGAATGATCGCAACGATAATGGGTTTGCAGGGATACTTCGCATTGGAAATTTGCACCATATAAAACTACGTGTTCCAATAAAACTAATGTCCACAGGGCCCCGACAGTATCTTTGGTCCTTAGAGTCGTCATTATATGCGGATATCGCAGTGAATGGATGATGGCAATGACCCCATCGATCGTCAACAGAAGCAGTGACATAATGCTTCGTGTTACCGAAGTTGGATACCAAACTTTTTCAGTGATGAAAGGTTGAAAACGTAAATAAAGTGACGTTCACATATGCTGTGATGAAGAGCTGACACGCGTCGCTAAGCACGTTTAATTCAAAATTGAAGTTACCTTTGACTGTCATTTATTCTATTTACATTTTACACGAAACGTTCAAGCAAATTTGTGCACGGTTTAAACCAAAAAAATCTTTTCGTATTGTGTGAGTATAGAGGATGTAATTTCTGCCCTATATAAACAGAGGACGTTAATGGGGCTGTCCAGTTCGAAACGGTTTCCAACGCTCTGACAATTTATTTTATTTGTTTTTTTGTTAAACGTTACGAGATCTACCGGCTGAAGACGGCTTTTCTACTTCAGTGAGGCAATATCGTTGCCATTTATGATAATCAACATCCGGTAACCTCCAAATGCCTTATACTGCCACAACTATGCAATGTGTAAATGAACAAAAGGGGAGGGGTTGCGTTCTGCTGGGGCATATAAAGACGCGATCATATTATATAGCTGTTCTGACAAAGTTCCCCACTGATTCAACTTCAACAATCATGCAATAAACTCACTGAGTTGACTCAGGAATTATAAGTGTCAGGAATCAAGCGGATGCATCATAGTTGTAACTGATTTGTCTTCTGTCCCTCCGATCTTGGCTGAAAACATATTACCTAGAATGGAACCTCAAAGTTGATCCCTGATGGCGCGCTTCCGGAACCCTTGGACAGGAAAAATAAGTATTCTTGCGTTCAGCTACTTCGTAAAAACTCTACTCGTACAAGGGTCTTTTGTAAAATATTTGATAGCATGTCAATTATGGAAACTGAAAACTAGACCTAAAAGGAAATAGGCCTACTCCTGCCAAAAATTGACTCATCACTTCCGACACTTTAAAATGGATGAAGTGCAGTGCAATTCGGTAGTCTCGCAAGCAGACGAACAGTAACGAAATTAAACTTTGTGGTAGTCTTTCGGTAAAAGCCAAAATAAAACTGACCAAATTATTTTAAGGATTTTGCAATTTATAAGGAAATCAACTTAAAGCAATAGCGGCTTTTACGAAAGATTCAATGTAGGCCCTATAATCTAACCTTTTCTGACAAAAACTGCGTCAGGTCAACTGACTGAATCTAGAACCCATCGACTGCAGGTACAGGTAAATCTTTGCAGAGTTGTACAATCTTGTTTTCACGTAAGTACGGGGAATAAAAACAAACGTTCGTGAACAAGGACACCAAGGAACGATACTGTCGGAAGTGAAAGGTTCTTAATGAAATTCGTTTTTTACGCATCCCGAGGTGACTTTTCCTACTATTACTGGGGGAGACAAGGGAACAATACGACACGAGTGTTTCATTGGGTGGTTTCAGGTTAGGAATCTGTCTTCCTAAAATTGTCGAACGTGACAGGACGGCCCAAGTAAAATCCCCATAGGCGGACAACGCGAGGGTTCTGGAATGTCTCTGCATAACCTTTTACTTTCCAGGATCTCTTCAAACTCTTCAAAAAGGAAAATGCCGTGACCAGGATTCGACCACAATGCAATGTCCTTATCACCAGCCGGCACTTGTTGTGGCATATTCGTTTGACCTGACAAAAGTTTCTTACAGTATTTCAAATATTTAGCTGTGTTTACATATTTCGTGGAAAATTTTTAAAATGTAATGCACTGTATGCATGGGTACCGGGTGGAAAATACAGAGGCGCACATTACGTTGTACCCCTCTGTGTACGACTGAAGCCCACGGCCAGTAAGAAATTCGTTCCGAGCATAATGTCCAAGTCCTACTTTAAGCTATCAAAATTAACGTGACGATAAAAGGTCAACATATACCGTGACCTGTAAAATCAGAAGTTATCGTAAAGCAGTAAAGACATGCTTGATAACAGCCTATGCTTAAACGATGATGAGAAGAATAGGCCTATATATGCGTAAAGAACACCATTTTTGTTCAATAACACCCATGCGGATTTTCAAAACTTTTCCCAAAGAGGTTCTTCAGGGACTTTTTAAGGACATAAGGGACATTCCAGGTATTCAAAATAGTAGAAATAATTTCAGTTGAAATTCTTTCAAGGTAGAACTCTAAATTTGCCCGTACAAATTACGGTATGTCTACATACTCTCGATCCATTTTTCCAGTGATATATTAATCTTGTATTCCGTGGCTGTCCTTGCCAGACAAATTAGCCCCAAAATGAAATATTCCACAGTATTTTCTTATCCTGTTCTTTTTCTTAACATTTAACACTTTTTCATTCCTAATGTGCTATCTCTACAAAACAAGTTCAAAAGCGCAGAAGAAAAAGGGAGAGAAGCTTTTGTTAGCCTATGGGTCTTCTCTACCCTTGGCACCCGGCTGTTCACTCTCCCACTGCCAACTCCAACTGACACCCTTGAGTAAGCACACACTCAGGTCATGCAGTACCAGGATCCAGTGCAGCATCCATTGTTCCCGCCTTCACTGTTCCCGCCTCAACGCTTCACCCAGCTAATCCCTACATCTGGATCCCTCTCTACACCATATAAGCTCCACTCCCACTCAAAATCCTGCAGTCTCCTGAAGATGGACAGACTACACTATAAGAAAGGTCGAGTTATTCCCCGGTTCTTCTCAGAACCACACATACTCAAAGAAAGAGATTTATCCATGGTGTAACCACAATCGTTTTTTACTCATATTGTTCTTTCACCATGAAAACCTTCAAGTCCAAAGCTTTAAAAAGTTAAAAATCGAATTTCAAATGGTAACGTTTATGTAATTAAAAATGGCTACTAAATACGACATATTCCTCAAAGTCGGTCGGCAGTAACAAATTCCCTGTGACTGAGCGAGGAGCAAAAGGTTTTTGTCTTGGTACGCAAGTCGTGAGCACAAGGGGACGTCTCGATCACGTCCGTCAAATACACGTAAGTTGGTAAAAACCCAAAACCGGACAGGGCAACGTCTTGAACTGCACACGCGCACAAACTCTGTTTAACTGAATTGAAGAAGTGGCGTAGCTAGGCTTTTACTGTGGGCCATGTTGAATATCCATTCATCCGTTTTCTTTCAGTGGGGGGAGGGGCACCTGATGAGGGGAGCACCGGGAATGGGGGTGGGTGGGCACGGTGTCCCCGGCCCCTCGATTCTTGGTTATACGCCACTGAGAAGGGACCACAAATCAAAACATGCGAGCTAGGTGCCTCGCATTTGAGAAAGCAGGGCTCAGAGACCCTGGTCTGCGCTAAGTGGAGTGCCCTGTGTTGGTATTGCCGTTTTTTCCCGACAAAAGTTAACTTTGGTGAACTCAAAACCCCGCAACTCTTCTATGTTTACCATTCGTGAAAGAATCCCTCCCCAACGCATCCAGGCTATAAGAGAAACAAACGCGACGCACGACACGACGCAAAGCGTCGTGTGTACCAACGCAATGGCAAGAAGGCGACGGTTCGACCGACGCCACGACGCAAGGGAGCTGTCGTGCCGTTGCGTCGTGTAGTTGCGTCGCCTGGAGGGAGGCTAAAGAAAGAGAGAAATGTGTGTCGTAAATAATACACCATAGTTGTGCCATTGATCTTTTTAAATGCTGGCGATTACAGTCTCTCTTTAAGGGGCCAGTCCACTAATTCAAGCCCGATCGAAAACAGTGTAAAATCAGCACCGTTCAGGGCCCTATAGGCTAGCATGCACGCC